TGAATGTGAGATGAAAAGACCTTCTGGGGTGAAATGAAACTAGTTTCATTCCTGGGGCCCAGTAATGAATTCAAGGGTTAGTTCAAGGTTTTGAAAAGAAATGTAAAATCCTGGGCTTCTGAATCCAGTACTTGGGCAATTTGGAGCAAATCTATTGAATCCACCACACACACTCAAACAGGCACTGATATATATATAGCATGGCACATCCAGTGAAGAAAAAAAAGGGAAAAAATATTTAAAAAGGGGGAAGGGAAGATATTGGTGATAACAGAATCGCCCCCCAATCTTTGATCTACCAATGACATTACAGTTGTGCTAGAAGTTTGCTTTAGTGATGGAATGACTAAGGCTATACAGGTATTCTTTAATTTATGGCCACAATTGAGCAGAACATTTCTGTTGCTAAACAGGACAATTGTTAAGTGAACTTTGCCCCATTTTATGAGCATGGTTGCTAAGTGAATCACTGCAGTTGTTAAATTAGTAGCATGGTTGTATAGTGAATCTGACTTCTCCATTAACTTTGCTTGTCAGAAGGTTGCAAAAGGTGATCACATCAGGGGTGAAATGCTCCTAATTCAGACCAGATCGAGCGATCCGGTAGCAATTGTGGTAGGTAGTTCGGAGAACCGGTAGCGATGGCGGCGCGAGGCTCTGCCCACTGCCTGGGTGTTGTTACTTCCTGGTTTTAACCAGGAAGTAATGTTTTTTACCTTCTGCACATGCACAGGTTTTGTGCATGCGCAGAGGGTCTGCGCACGTATGTGATGCATATGTTCTGTCCCCCTTCCCCACACAGGCAAACACACAACCAGGCATGCCTGCCAAGATTTTATTAAGCAATCAGACTAGAAACCCTTGCAGATAAGAGTTTTGGCAGTAAACTGCGAAATGCCTGCAAAGTCAGTTTTCACTCACAGTCAGCAAGAGAGAGTTTATCCTCAGTCCGGTTCAGTAGCAAAAAGTAATCCACGAAGCAAGAGTTAGCCAAGATCCAATCCAAATATGCACAAGCCAGATTTCAGGTAACGCGATGTGACTCTCAGGTTTTTAACTTTGACCGTCACAAAGCCTGAAGAGCAATCACACCCACTTTTATTCCTTGTGGGGTGTGGCTCAGAGACTCAGCTCAATCTCTGGCCCTCCCACGCCTCTTTCATTGCTGCGCACACTTTTCCCTCTGACGCTGCCTTGGATCCAGCCAGGATTCATCATCCTTGCTCTCTACCTGTTGTTGTTCCGATATGCTTTCCTCTTGGCATATCCCAGGCTGTTCCTCTTGGCCTTCGGATGGAACCTGAGGCATTGCCAGAGAGGAGGGTCCTGGAGAGGGAGGCCTTATCAGTTCCTCCCCATCACCTTCTGAGTCCTCTTCCTCTGTTAGGACAGACTCGGGAGTCGGGGTCACAACAGCATGTACACATGCAAGCAAAGCGAACGCATTTCCGAACCAGTAAGGAAGGTAAGTAGATTTCACCCCTGGATCACATGACCCTGAAACCAGGACATTGCAACTGGCATAAATACATACCAGTTGCCAAGTGTTCAAATTTTGATCATATGACCATGGGGAGGCTGCAACGGTCGTAAGTGTGAGAAACATTCATACAGTAAGTCATTTTTTTCAGTGCCATTGTAACTTTCAATGGTCACTAAACGTATGGTTGTAAGTAGAGGGTTGGCTCTAATTTATTTTTAACAACAGCAGCTTAGTAAAGGACTTAACATTTTAAAGGAACTTTTTACACTACTGTGGTCATTAATTTCTTTTTTAACTTCAAGTACAGACGATATGTTTCTTTTGAAAAACTCTGCTGGTTTTTCAGACTGATTTAGTTTGTTTCAGCTTTCAGAGTTTTCGGCTTTGCATTGATTACCTTTCAATGTCTGTGGCTACTTTTATCAATCCTGGCACTCTTGAAGCTTTTTATAAACTTTCCTCTCAGTGCAATTATGGAATACTCATAAAAAATTTAAAAGATCAACTCTGCCAGGAGACTTGTATGACTAATTTAAATGGCAGTTTGCCATGAAGTTCACCGATGCCTTGTTGTGACTCCCTGCTGAAGAAAAGTCTTAATTGTATTAGAATATTGTAGCACAGAAAGGTCAAAGGTAGGACATTTTCAATATTCCAAATAAAATTGGTTTTCAAATATGATTTAAGCTGGAGATGCTCTGGGTAATCATGTGAACCATAGTTACCTCACTAAAATATGAAAGGACTTGTTTATTAGTTGCTTTCTTCTTCCATCTTTTCTCTAAGAGCCTATTACAGAGAAATCTACATTTTACAATCAAAACAGAAGCCCTTTTGTGAATTAAAGTTACCCTTGGACACGTTCAGTAAATTGTATGTTATTTATGCAATTTGAAACCACTTTACAATAGCATTTCTCTAAATTAAAGGCAGAGCGATACCATTTAAGATTTTCCCCAGAATGAGGTTGTGATTAGAGAAGCTTTGCATATTATCTCCTTGACCTCTGAATGCCTTCTATGACACTACTTAAAGCTAAAAGGATATTCTGCAGTATGTTGGATTCTCACACTGTCTGTGTAATTATGATATCGCTCGAAGGAGAAAGGGTTGATTTTTATTTTTTATTTTTTTGGTCACCACCCCAAAACTCCATACAAGGTGGTGCTTCAGTGTGCTTTTAATTTTGACTCCCCCCCCTTCTTTTATTTGTCAGCAAGGAGACTTAATTTGATCTGGAGATTAAAATGATGGATTAGGAGCAGGGAAAGTTCTGCTTTAGGCATAAAAGCCATGGACTTTCTCTTAACCTTAAGAAGGTGGCAAAGAACTACCACTTCCAAAAACGAGGCCTAGAAAATTGCATGGACTTCAGTGGTGGGTTGCCTCCGGTTCGGACCAGTTCTATAGAACCGGTAGTAAAACCGGTGGGAGGTTCTGCCCACTGACCCCGACGCCATCAGAACGCTTCAGCGCATGTCAGAAGAACGTGCGCGTGCGTGTGGCCCCATTGTGAACCGGTAGTAAAGGTAAGTAGAACCCACCCCTGATGGACTTTTGTCTAGTAGTCACCAGGAATCAAGACTGAGTTGAAATAAAACACAAAAAGGATTATGAAGTGGATAACTACCAAGCCACTGCATCAAGATGGGTGGCCGAGTTAGAAGTATAACTCCTTGGACAAAAGATTTGAGACTTCTTTTCTCCTTAGGTTCAGCCTTGTTGCTGCATTAACCATTGATCCTTGTTATGTTCAAATTCAGAGAACCCTGGGTTGATCAATATCAATCTCTGGGATTATATACCTTGATCCTAAATAGATCTCCCTACTGTAATTATAACAGTCCACAGTTCCCAAATCCAAATAAAATGTGGCTCTGTTTATAAGATTCAAATGAGTAAGAAATCAGGGAGAAGACAAAGCACTGTCTTACAGAAAGACACTCAGGCAGAGGTTATCTTAGATGTAGAAAAAAGATTAGCTGTTTTAAATAGCAAAAGACAAAGTTAAACATTCTCGTGCTCATTAAGTTATCTTTTCCAAATTATTTCTAAGGTGTTGCACAGCCACATTCAGGAGGTTTTCCTTTTAAAAGGAATCCCGATGCTTCTTACAGTATTGCAACCACGAAGTCTTGCACGTTCCCAGAAAAGCAAGCGATTTATTTCTTTGAGAAGTAGCATCCGTGTTTTCCCCCAACCATGTTTCTAAAACGCGGCAGATTTTTAAAACGTATTTGCCAGTAAATGATTGCTTTTCAGTTCAATTTATTTGCCTGAAAACAATAGATTACAGCAAACCTATCCCCGCTGCCACACACCCCCCAAATTAAGCAAAAATGATATGACATACATGCATAGCAAATTAAGCCATTTCAAATGTTACACTTGCAGCCCAAAGCCGAGACGGAATCACTAAGAGTATACATATTGCATATTATTTTTCATCACCCTGAACTTTTAAGTGATCCACGGGGCATGGAGGGGGGGTTGACGAGCTGCCTGCATACTTTTAAGACTATGGAATGTATGTTTGAACGTTATTGTGTGAACTATGGAAGATCAAGGAAAGCCTGTCTCTTATGCACTGCAGTGGTTTTGAGTAGTCCTTGACTTACCACCACGATCGAGTCCAAAATTTGTTAAGCTAAGGAAGTGTTGCCCCATTATATGACCCTTTTTGCCACTGTTATTAAGTGAATCACTGCAGTTGTTAAATTGGTAATGTGGCTATAAAGTGAATCTCGCTTCCCCATTGTCTTTGCTCGTCAGAAAGTCACAAATGGTAAATCGTCTGATTCCAGAACACTGCCATTGTCATAAATATGCGGCACCTGCTAAGCATCCAAACATGACCATGGAGATGTTGCAATGGTCGTAAGCGTGAAACTGGTCATAAGTCAGGTTTTTTTCAGTGCCGTTGTAACTTTGAGGAGTCACTAAACAAATGGTTGTAAGTCGAGGACTACCTGTATGTTCTAGCAACCCTGTGGAGGGATACTCAGCAAGTGGAATCAGCTAAATCAGGGGTGTCAAACTCGCGGTGTCATGTCGTCATGTGACATATTGTGATTTTTTTTCTCCTTTGCTAAACCGGAGGTGGGCGTAGCCAGCATGTGACACACCCGGCCCACGAGTTTGACACCCCTGAACTAAATTATTACATCGCATTTCATTTCCCAAAATTTGGGATTTCCAAGAGTTTTGCTTAGTGAAACTAAGGAACAGATGTTTGCCCAAAAGCCCCTTTCACATGAAGCCATAATGAGACAGACTCTGCAAAACCCAATTATGAAAATACCTCAAACAATAATCATCCTCACAAGAAAGTTTAAATAAATTTGCTCTTTGTGCTTCACTTACCAAAAAAGAAACCCAAGAAGAAAAAGCAGTTCTTGAATCAAAGCTGTCCTCAAGCCTCCAGAGAAAAATATAGTTCATTTTGAGAATTTTGATCAACTACAAATTACATGACATAAAAGTGCTGTGCAGATAATAATTCCAAAGGGACAGAGAAGAAAGTCTTTGTGCTTTTTAATATATAAGAAATAATGTGTGCATCTGGACTGGATACATTCATGTATTTTTCTAAATAAAAAATAGGCAGGCTATTGCTATTCATACGGACTTACATTTTTATTACAAGCTAAGCTCAATTAGATTTAAATGAGCCAGTGCGTTTCTTTTTAATGTCAAAACTAGAGTTTGTACACAACTTCACTCCTTTTTCTTCCTATTTGTTTTTTTAATATTAATTCCCTAATTTAGAAGAAGCATTTATTTTCATTTTGGTTAAATCATTTGGAATCATTGACCTGGTGATCCCCTAGAGCCGTGATGGTGAACCTATGGCATGTGTGCCACAGGTGGCACACGGAGCCATATCTGTGGGCACATGAGGGTTGCCTATTTCAGCTCCAGCGCGCATGCGCACGCCAGCCAGCTAATTTCCAGTCCCACCAGAAGTCGGAAAACAGGCCACTTCCGGCCTCCAGAGGGCCTCCAGGGGGTGGGGAAGGCTGTTTTCACCCTCCCCAGGTTCCAAGAAAGCCTCTGGAGTCTGGGGAGAGTGAAAAACGGGCCTACCGGGCCCATTATGTGTCAAAAGCAGGGGGAGCATGGGGGTCATGCGTGCATGCGTGGGGGCAGGGCGCATTGAATTATGGGTATGGGCATGCACATGCACCACCCCTCCCCACGCTCCCCACACTTTTGGCAAGCAATTGCAAAAAGGTTAGCCATCACTGCCCTAGAGCATGGGTGCCAAACTTGCGGCATCATGTATCGCAACCTTTTTTCCCTTTGCAGAGCTGTTGTGGGGGTGCCCTGTGCGTGATGTATCCAGCCCATGGGCCGCCAGTTTGACACTGCTGTGAGGTTAATAGTAGATTTGAATCTACTTCCTTCCAGGCCCTGTTTGATATACTGAGCTTTGAATACTTGTTCTTACAGTCATATATGTCAAGTCAATTGGATTAGTATGTAAAGGATATCTTAATCTATATTTACTGCGTGCTAAGAAAGCACTGATCACTGATACCTACCAAAATCAATACTAATAAATAGTACAACTTACAAATTGACTGAATTTTGTTTTGAAACAGCTGGTTAAAAAATAGCATGCACTATCTATTTTATAAGTATTGCTTTACTACTGTGCTTATAGCTACATTGGAAACATCATCTGCCATAGGAGCAAAATACTAGACATTCATTTTAAAAGCAGAGTCACTATTCTCAGCTAATTCAATAAATTGATTTTTCTGGGTCTGTAGGAACTCACTATGAGGTCTACATTTTAATTCCATGTCTTCGTATTTATCTGCCTGGTTATGCCTAGCTGTGCAGTGGATAATGTGAAATTTGATCTGTTCTTTACCACCCTTACCAGAAATCATTAGATATTAGTACGGGAAGAAAAGCATAGCAGGAGAGCATAGGATTAGCATGCTAATAGCTAATGATTTCTGGTAAAGCTGGCAAAGAACAGATCAAATTTCACATTATCCTCTGTAAATGAGCCGAGGTGGTGCAGTGATTAGAGTGCAGTACTGCAGCTACTTCAGCTGACTGCTAGTTCAGCAGATCAGTGGATCAAATCTCACCGGCTCAAGGTTGACTCAGCCTTCCATCCTTCCGAGGTGGGTAAAATGAGGACCCAGATTGTTGGGGGCAATATGCTATTTAGTATACTGTCTTTGTGTAAGCTGCCCAGAGTCCTCGGAGAGTGGGCAGCATAGAAATATGAATAATAAAATAAAAATAATAAATAAATAAAGGTAGGAATACAGAATACAGAAGAGAAGGAAGGGCTAAATCTCACCGCTAGATCCACAGCACTCCCAATAGGTTTCTTGTGAGACATTTGTACAAAATGGGGACACTAGAGAAGCTTTCTAAACGATAGTGTCTCATGACATCTAGGTCAGCAGTCCCAAACTTTTCTGGCTTTGTGGACCAGCAGTGATGGTGGCAGCAGTGGGGGAGGCGGAAAAGACAATGGTTCCATGCAAGCGATAGGTGAGAGCACATGCGCCGCTCACACAAATGGAGTCTCACGTGCATATGCTCTCATCCGCCACTTGCACAGCCTAGTTTCAAAACGGGCCACGACCCAGGATTTGGGGATCTCTGATCTAGTGATTCTCAGGCCTAAGAATGTCAATGCCATTTATACTAATATGGATCCTCAGTGGGATCAGGCCCAAATGATTTCCTTAAGTAGTTCCTTCTCTAGCGAGAACAAGATCTGGCACTTAACTGATTCCCTTCTACAACAATGAATTGGTTTATGGAATTAAGTAAACTCTGGTAGCATCAAGCCGAAGCCAATAAAAGAATCAAGAGGAGTGACCTTTCAGGGAGACTATAGCAATAGCAATAACAGCACTTAAACTTATATACCGCTACACAGTGCTTTTACAGCCTTCTCTAAGCGGTTTATAAAGTCAGCACATTGTCCCCAACAATTTGGGTCCTCATTTTAACCACCTCAGAAGGATGGAAGGCTGAGTCAACCTTGAACCTGGTGAGATTCGATCTGCCAAATTGCAGACAGTCAGCAGTCAGCAGAAGTAGCCTGCATTACTGTATTCTAACCACTGCGCCACCACTAGTTCTACAACTAGCTTATCTGCTTTATTTGGTCATGGTACCCTGATAATTCATATAAACTGATCTAGGATCAGATTATCCAAATATACGGTCTTTACCAATATCTCCACTGAATAGCTTTGGTGTGTTCATAAAATATTTGGAAGCACTTCATCCTTATAAATGGGATGCCATCATTCTAGGCAACTGAAGACGTATGTCAACAAATAAATTCTTAATGCTTTTCAAAGGTAGTTTCTTAATGTTTTTCACAGGCATTTTGAAAAATAAAAAATAGGCTGAAATCTCCCCCTTAAGAAGGCAATAATTTCGGGGGGGGGGAGAATAGTTGTTAATACAAAGGCAATGCAATAATCTAAGTCTCATTTGTTGCAGTGGTCGTAGGTCAGGACTAAAACAGCTCAGGAGAGTGATTCATTTATGAGGAATGTATGCAAATAATTGGCATAATTCCCTTTTTTCGTAAATAGGTATATCAGTGGTTATCAGCTAAATCATTGGCATATAAAGTGGTTACAGAGTTGGCTAATACAATAAGTCTTTTGTTATGAATTTCTCATTCAATCAGATACAGTTTTTCCCATTTCCTTTTATGTATTCAGAGATTGGGTATGATGTATGTGGGTCCGTAGGAACTCTACAATTTCCATGTGGGAAGATTTCAAAGCCAGGGACAAAGCAGAATTGCCAGCCTACATGAAGAACAAAAAAAGAGAGATTATTTTGCCAGCTCGCCTAAGCTCTTTACTTTTCCCAGATATCAGACATACCCATATTTAAAGCTGCATATTTATGTTGTGAACTATATGTATAAAGCATAGCATCCTTGTTTCTACTATATATTAGGAAGCCCATTAGTACTTCTATGTGAGATCAGTCACCTATTAGTAACATGGTTGCTAGGTGAATCTGGCTTTCCCATTGACTTTGCTTGTCGCAGGACTGTCAAAACTCCCGGCCCGTGGGCCAGATGCGTCACACGCTGACTAAGCCCACGCCTGGTTTAGCAAAGGGGAAAAAAGTCCCAATACGTCACATGACACCGCCATGACAACGTGAGTTTGACACCCCTGGCTTGTCAGAAAGTCACAAAAGGTAATCACATGACCCTAGGACACTGCAACTGTTATAAATATGAACCAGTTGTCAAGCACCTGAATGGAAATCACATGGCCATAGGAATGCTGCAAGGGTCATAATTGTGAAAAACGTTCATAAGTCACTTTTTTCAGTGCCATTGTAATTTCAAATGGTCATTAAATGAACTGTTGTAAGTCAAGGACTACCTGTACACATATTCATTCACAGAGTGAGAGCCCACCATTGGCTAAGTAAACCAAATTTTTACTCTGAATAAAGCAAAATTCTTTAACATAATGCTTGAGAACATGGAAGCCAATATGGTCCAATAATAAAATGTTAAATGAATTCTTTGGTTTTCTTTTGAGATCTCTCTTTACAAAATCAGTCCTCTGCTCATATAGTGGACCACTAATTAATGGAACAGCTCCTTTATCTCAATAGCACTGACTGGATGTAGAATAAACATGAGCTATTTGTGAAGAAGGATACTGATGGTTTCCAGCTGCCTCAGTGCTTATGAAATTACAAGCATATTATAAATCATGGCCCTGCCTTAGACCTAGTTTGCATATTGTGCTTCCAAACCAGGCTCTTTTCGCAATGAGTCCAAACTTGATAAGACTCTTCTGTACCTAATTATAGCCTTTTCTTCAGCTTCCATCAGGAAAGTAAACAAAGGTTTTTCCAATGTAAATCAAACTGTGAACAAAAGATAAGCTGGGATGTATTTAGTCTAGTTGAGTTATTTTCCTGAATAGAAATTGGTCTCGCAATTTATATTAAAATTATTATATTGTTATATAATAAGTTCTGATTCATACATTTTAAAGAATCTAGAGTGACGTTCCATCAATAACTTGGTAAACCAATTTTTTATTGCGAGTAAAAGAGTTACTCAACATAACATATGAGAACATGGAAGCCAGCATGGTCCAATAGTAAAATGTTAGATAAAATCTTTTGATTTATTTCTATGTTTAATTATATGAATAACTAGCTGGACGCCTGTGCTTCGCTACGAAACTATGTGCTCGGGCTTCATAAATTGACACTTGCAGCCTGGAACTTAATGTAGAATGTATAACTCCGTAGCATCAGAGAGAATTTTAATAAAATGCAACTGACAGTTGGTATAGAGGAGGAGGGGGAATGTCCCAGCCCGCATCATCTGGCTAGCATCCTGTCAGTGTGTGAGAGAGTTGAGGGGTGTTTGGAAACTGAAACAGTATTTGCTGTGTGAGCAAGAAGGAGACAGGAAGGAGGCTGGGCATGGCTTAGCTCAACTGTTCTGTAGTAAAACTGCTTGCTGCTGTGAAAGTAAAACTGAAAGTGAAACTCCTCTGTTTGTGTTTTGCATTTGGAACAGATTTCTTTTGAGGTGGGGCAGGGGAGTACAACTCCTTAGCATCAGAGCATGTTAATCATAATAAAGGAAATACTAATGCTCTGATGGTTATTTCAAAAAATCCTTTCTTAGTGAACACCTAGAAGCCAAGAGGAACATATGTGGCAAATTTCAAGTTAGGGTTCTGGAGATTTCGTGATTAATGCATGAGTGGTTTTCGCTTTTATATATATATATATAGATAGATTATTCATTATTATTTTTCACATTTGAAAATATCATATTTCATATTTTTCTTTGTATTTGCTGAGTGTTCTATATGCATTATCTTTTATTTTAGGTCCACTGAACTGGACCTTTACCAATCTCCTATTAACTAATTCAACTAGGAGGTCGGTAAATCTTAAATAATAATGCATATATTGTCAGTGCAAAAGTTCTTAAATTTGGTTCAAATTGCAGGGGAAATGAACAAGGGTATTACTGTGCTCCGCAAGTAGGCAACCACCCATGAAGAATTTTTGCAATCTGTGCTTTCAAACAAAGCATCTATCCACATACTCAATCTTGTTATATCATGAATTTTTAATCTACAGATACTATAAAAATTGTTTGCCAGCATGCTTGTTTTACTCCATCATGCTGCCGTTACACCATGTGATTTAAATTACTGGTGCACATATAATTATGGTGTTTATGGTATTATATCTGCACAAACTCATGCCAATCTGTGACTGAGTACAATAATTACTTGTAAGAATTATACTCCTTAATGCAATTTTGTGTTGCATGTACTGCCTTTTAAAGGATCTAACAGTCAAATCAAGAGCAGATTTATCTGAACAACATTGATTTCTGTAAGAATGTCTGCATGCTAAAGAAAAAAAAAATCATCCATATTAGTGGTTTTCAAACTCTTAAATTGAAACTTGCTGGGCTTAATATCTGGCAAGCTTATTTTTCAATATGGCTCAAACTTCAGGATCTTTTTTTATTTGTTTTTAGTTTTATAACTGACACAAAAAGAAGCAAGCAAACAGCTTTAAAAAAGCACACAGTATAATATCGTGAAAATATAGCATGTCTGTACTCTGTAAAAAAGAAATTGCAAATATTAACTGATTGTCAATAATGCCATGTTTGAAACGCTTGTTAAAACTAGGATAATCTTAAATCAAAAAGACCTCCGCACCGAATCTTTTAAAATAACCACACTTTTTTATTAAATCAAAAGCATGAAATATTTTTTTGCCTGCCTAACAGATTTCATCCAACTGGGCACCAATTCAAATAGATGTCATTATGGAAACAGCCCTAGTCCAAATAATTTTGTAAGTAAGAACTCATATATGGAGCACATAGCCCAAAATATGTGGGAAACATCTATTTTTTCTCACCTTGTCCACTAATGCAGGATCACAGCCTGAATGAGATAAAAGAAGTTTCACCATCTCCAAATTACCATGTTGAGAAGCCACCATTAATGGTGATAGGCCATCCTCATCCTGAAGATTTATATCAGCATTGCATGACAGCAATGCTTTCACCATATCTTCTCTATCATGGCTCACTCCCAAAATTAAGGCAGTCTGTCCACCCTATAAAATATCATTAATGAGGGTTACGCATCATGTATTCAATTTTGCTATACCATATTCATTCACTCATCCCCATTGGTAAAATACCAATCTGCAGGCATACCTTCAGAATACCTTATATACATTACATTATAACCTTCTTTCTCTTTCTTTCCCTACATTATTCATCTTATGCTAGGCATCTGATGACCTGTTCCTCTGCATCTTCATTTGGCATTTTTCTTTCCATATCTAGTTTTATTCTTTTTTATAAGACTTTAATCTAAAGTTTGCTTGCATCAGGAAAGTGTGCAATGATTTGCGAATCTGCACGCTGTCTTGCATCTTTTTCATTTGGCATAGATAAATAGACTGATTTTTTTCCCCCAATCTCCCAGTTACTCCAGGTTATATTCTCTTCCTCTATACTTGGCATTTGTGCCATTTGTGAATTTAGGGGCCCAATCTCCTACAGTTAGTTAGCATTTCATCTATACCCTGCACATCCATTGTTCTTATTTACCAACAATTTACTACCTATCATATATAACTTTCAACTATTTCAAGTGATTCCCTGTCTATATATGTATCTATCGTTCTACAATCCTGTGTGTAAATTATTTTGGTACAGCTTTTCTGTTTTCCTTCAACCAAACCTCTTAGATGCTTTTTCTGGATTACTTTGTATAAATCCTACTTTGGCAGTAAATGTTCCTGCAGTTCTTTTCTTAAAATTCTTCTTTAAAATGTCTCTTCTTCTTTTTTTTGTCATCTTGTTATTGTTAACATTCTTGATTTAGATTTCTTTTTGGGTCTTTTCTTACTTGATGCTGAAAGTTTATGTTCAATTATTTATTTTATTTATTTATTAATTAGTTTGTCAAACACGTACAAGATAGCAGGTATAAATATGAACATGGACATGAACGAAGGAAATGAATACAAATAAATGAGGACAATAGGACAGGGACGGTAGGCACACTAGTGCGCTTATGCACGCTGTTGTGGTCCGCCAGCAGTTTACGGAGCTGGCAGCAGAGTCAGGTAGTGAGGAGGCTGGGAATGAACATGGGCCTGTCATGGAGTCTGGGGAAGACTCAGACGAGGGCTCTGTGTCAGAGGCAGAGATGGGGCCAGGGTCATCTGGGAGTTACGTGTGGACTCCGGAGCCTCCAGAATCAGACATTAGAGAGGCAGATGAACAGGAGGAGCCTGTTCCTAGTGCACGCATGCGCAGATCTGCCAGAAGACACAAAAAGTTAAAACAAAAGGGACGACTCAGGAGTAAGGCCTGGAGATGATTAGCCCCTCCCATAAGGCTTAAAAGAATAGCAAAGGCACGTGGACCCTTTGCAGGAAAGCAACATTGTTAATTCTGTTCCCAGTCGGCATCTCTGTTTGATTCTGGACTCCGTGTGGCTTTGCCAAGTAGGTCTTTGGCAGCGTGTCAAGGGAGATAAAGGTTGGTGATTGTCCCGAAGGACTTCTCCCGAAGGACTTTCTGCAACTAATTGGGACTCAGCTGTGAATGAACGTAATTCACAGCTGTTGCAATAAAAGAGGTTTTTGGGACTACTCATGTGTTTTAATGACTCAGGAAGCCTAGATCACAACACACACACCCTTTACGGACCTCCTAGGAATGGGGTGAGGTCCACAGCAGACAGTTTAAGGTTGAAGCTGTGAGGGTTTGAGGATGTAACAATCATATATTCTAACTGCAGAAAACTATTCATTCTCCATTTTTTCTGAGTGTGATAGCTTGTTATGAAACCATTTGCATCTTTTCTTCTTTGAAATCTTTGTTTGATTTGCTTTTTTTCCTATTTCTGTTTTCACAATGCCTATCTCTTCTCATAGTGCCTAGGTTCTCTTTTGCATAGCAAAATGGGACCTTATATTGATCTTATATGTACAATATAGAATGTATAATATATTATGTAACATATATAATATATATGTTAGATTTATTATATAAATACCAAAATCATATATATACCAAATCAAATCTTGATGGCATTCCTAATCTCTTTACTTTTCAAAGAGATTTCGGACCACAAATATATAGGTATAACCTGTATACATGTATATTTGAAGGCTGTTTCACAATCTGCACTTATAAAAACTCTCAATAGTTTGTACCTCCATCTTCTGGTATTTTTTATAATTGTTATGTGGTCAATTTTATTTATGTTGATGTTAATCCATCTGTTAATGTCTAGGACTGGAAGTAGAATGTGTGTTTACATGGTTTAAAGCACATATTGAGCAAAAAGTATCTCCACAAAACCTTTCTGCTGCATTATGGCACTTACCCAATGTAAACCTTGAGGTAATTTCAAGTTCCTCCACTTCTTAAACTTCTACATTCTAATTACTTATGAGTAGCTGTAGAGGAGTTGCACTTAGCAAGTTTTGCAATTTGTAAAATGGACCAAATCCAAACCAGCTAGGATTACACTACCTAATTTAGTGTGCTTCATTTCTACTTTAACCATCTAAAGTCTTCCTTGATTACTGATCTTCACAGTTTATGTTCCAATCGAAGGAACTCTTTAGTACTGGCCCTTCAGTAATTAGATTCCTTGTGATGAAATTGTCTCCAGATCAAAACATCTCTAAATACTGTAACCCTGTTGAGTTTTCTTAGCTACTGTATTTAAAAAGTGCTTATTCTTGTTTTTTCCCAGGTTTTATTTTGGAGTTCTTTCTCCTAGATTGATATAAGCATATCACATCATAATTTAATAAGATATAAATAATGAAACATTATTGGAGAAAATGATCATATAAAAATAGCCTTTGGAGTTAGCCAAAAGTTCAGTATACCTGGCTAGCCCTTATATTGACATTGCCTTCTTGCAAGAGCTTCTTGACTACTTCCATTTCTTCCTCCGTCTCTGCTGATGCAAGTGGAGTGATCATTACTGCTGTATACCCAGCTTTATTTTGATAATCCACATCACAAACACCTGAAAAACAAAACAAAGATTTAGATATCAGTCATTGGAGAAGAAGACTTTCCAAAATTGATTGATTTATAGTCTCAAAATCTAATCCTCCCATACCTAGTTTGCCTGAGGAAATGAGCTACTTCTCAACTGAGCTGCTCTTCCACTGAATAACTCTGTTAGTAGACAGAGGAAGAGGTTTCACCTCAGCTGAATGGTCACTGTATCTGTATCCATGATGTTACTGCCAGCAAGGTTTCCACCAACAAGACTCAACAGGACTCAAAAGAAGCAAGAACAGCACAAGGAGAAATAGGAAGTCTACATTCTTCTAAGGAGCTCCCACACATTGTGGGGAAATGCTTAATTAAATTAGGAGCCAAAGCAACTGGACCTAGCTGCAACAACATATCTTTCACTACATGTGTAACTACAGTGGAACCCCAAAGCTCACAAGGTCAATGGTCACAAGACTTACAAAAACAATACATTAAGATGCATGAATATTAGCTATTTAGGATAACTAATAACTACAGTATGGACTGTCCCAGAACCTCTACATTCTGATCTTCTAAGGAGACTCCATGTCCTAGCACCTTCTAACAAAAACAGTGTCCATTATTGTACCCATATATTGATGGCCCTCACACAATAGAAAAGACCACAACCTATTTTTTTATTCTCTGTCTCCTTCTCTTCCGGGGTAACAGGCAGATTCAGTTCTGCCTAATACACATTTCAGTATCATGTATGTAAGGAAAATAGTCTTTGTCTTAAGCATTTATATCTACATAGACAAAAGCTGATAGATTATGTTCCTCACTTCTATTGCACCGAATGAGAGAGAGAATGACAACCCTTCTCATTGGCAGCAGAACCTTTAGTTATGCTGAGTTGCATGGCTGTAGTCCTCTCTGACCTTAATTTAGGATGCATTCTTCCCCATATTTTATCATTACATAAACCAGGAAGATGTATAGATAATTGCACTAACCAATAAAGCCCTTTCTGTTGCTTCTGTTTTAGGATAGTTAATTTACAAGGTAGGTTTTATCAAGAATATTCACATGTTTATGGAGATTATCAGTCAAACAGGTCATGGTTGTCCCACAGGTCCTTTTCAAGAGGCAACTGGCTTTTCAAGAAAGTGAAGAAGTTTCTTGGATGAGAAACAAGATGTCTTCAAGGAAAAAACAAAGAAAGTCCAATTGCCTCTTGAAAAAGCACCTTTGGGACAATATTCACATGTCTTTTCAGGCCATGGAAAATCATAATGGGAACCAGAGGTGGGTTTCAGCAGGTTCTGACCAGTTCTGGAGAACCGGTAGCGGAAATTTTGAGTAGTTTGGAGAACCGGTAAATACCATCTCTGACTGGCCCCGCCCCATCTATTATCTGCTTCCTGAGTCCCAGCTGATTGGGAGGAAATGGGGATTTTGCAGTAACCTTCCCCTGGAGTGGGATGGGAATGGAGATTTTACATTATCCTTCCCCTACCATGTCCACCAAGCCACACCCACAGTACCGGTAGTAAAAAAATTTGAAACCCACCACTGATGGAAACTTCTCAAAAATTTGTTGGGGAAACTATAAGAGTTATGTATTCCCTCCCTCCATCAACTTTACTTCTTTGGCTTTATTTAGAATCTACCACCAAACAAAAACAAAAGCATAACTAGTCATCTTAAATTAATAGCAAAATGAAGAATTCTTGATTCATTTAGTTTCATCCAAGGAAGGGTAATGTCAGCGTTCCAGAAAAGCCCCAACTCCAAGTAAAGACGCGGAAACAAATATTTTTCCAAAGTTCTCTTTACTAGAATAGGCAAACTGGCACATCTGGGAAAACCCGAATCTGAAAAGCCCGGGTTTACCTTCAGCTCCCCAAACCATCCCCTTTTCCCCCCAATCGATCACATGCTCCAACCAACGTCCGTTCCATCTCGATCCAGCCCCTGACCACTCCTTCTCCAGATGCTGGATCGCCCTGACCTTGACCGACAGGAAGAATGCTATTATGTCTACTAACAACCCCTCTCCTTAATCCCCCCTCCTACTTTCCCACACATGAGAAGGTGGCAGCATTGAAGCTTCCAGCCTAATATGGCTTCCAAAGCTGACAGGTAATTCATGTTTACTGGTAGGGATTATTGAACACATTTGTAAAGTATTTTCAGAATTTTTTTGTTGACATCTTATAAGAATATCTTGGTATGTTACCCTTTTGCAAATATAAATGGGTCCCTAAATAATAGTGACATTTTTATCTCTGGTCAGCAGAGGTCAGTAGTATGCAAAATTGTCTAGACAATTAATGCCAACTTGAATATCAGCCAAGAAAATGTGCTGAGATAGTAAATAGAATTTAATTTCATTCAAAATATGTTGCAATACACTTGGACTCTGGCTGAAAAAAAGGTAGGAAGGAATAGGAAAAGTAAGAGTTACCTTACCTATGAGAATATATATTGGATTAGAGCCAGATTTAGTCAAACAGAACCAACCCACAAAAATTATTTAGGACTTACACAAGATCTTATCCATCGTGTCTAATTGAATGTATAATTTTTCCACATATTTCCTGTACTCCTATCAAATACAAAGTGCCCTAATTATCATCCATGCAATCCATCTAACCATCCTTTTTTTTTCCTGCTAAACTTCCAAATAACCATGGTTTTTTGGGGTAGAATTCCTCAAAGAAAGAGGCAGAGTAAAAGAGCAAAAGGACATACTCTAATGAGTAAAGAAGTAGAAAAAGGTAGATCAGAAGCAGAATGTGTGCTTTTCTAAGAAATTATCCCAAGCAGCAAAGTTGATAAAAAACATTTGCTTGCTGTCAGTAAGAAAAGAGAAATACAGGGTGTCCTTTGCATCATTACTAGAACTTCAGATCATTCTTCCTTTTTTTCATAAAGACTTGAAACAATTTAGTATTTAAAGTCTGTGTGTAACTCTGAACATAATTGCCCGAGGGCAATCTACCGAGAGAACAAAACAGCCTTGTTTGAATCTTCTGGAGTTGTTATGAAGTTTTCGCGCAACAATTGATTTATAGACACTTATGATAATATGCCACTTTTCTAACATTTTATAGATTGGCATGCCAACTCAATAGCAACAAAGCTTCTTTCTTCTCAGTAGAAACTGCATTCCTGTTTATTGAATGAGAATTTCACAAGACTCTCTTCTTATTTGATCTAACGATCACTCCCTTGTATGAAATTATTCTTTCTGAATTATAGATTTCTCTTACAATCTTAAAAAGCTTCCAAGTAACAATTCCTAATTATGAAGTACTAGGTCAACTCTTGACATAGAATATGTACTTTTGTTGTATGCACTCCTATACTCAATGTGCCGAATGCCATGAAATATTTAAAAAGTTTCATTCACCTGCTAACAGATAAATAGTGAATGAGGTTGATGCCTAAAGTAAGAAACAACTTTCAACCAAATTAGATTATGAAGGTTACATTATATGCCCGCTTTGTCAAGTCTACTGAATTTTAGGAATACAACAAGGGAAGACCCACATGATTATTTATTTGTTTTGTTAGGCTGCTTGATTTGCAAAATAATTCTAGGTATGGCATACTGTAAATCAAGAAAGTCTAAAGTTAAAACCTGAAGTTAAAACCTAAAGCTAAAACCTAAAAAATAATTATAGTTATATGTCTATTAAAATGTACACACTTGAACAATATTTACATTACACACACACACACACACACACACACACACATAATTGTAACTCTTAAGTGTTATAACAATATATTATACTATACTTTGATTTCTTCCATGTACAGCAAGGGTGTCAAACTGGCGGCCCGTGGCCTGGATGCATCACACGCAGGCCACGCCCACTTCAGCTCCACGAATGGAAAAAACATCGCGACATGTCACATGAGGGCAGCATGACGCCGCAAGTTTGACACCTGTGATGTACCGTATACCAGGTAGGAAAACAAACTTAGTAGAACATCCACCAAAATGACGATCAAAATATATGTCACAAAATCATAATGCAATATACATAGGTCCAACATTGAGAAATAAGAATGAAAGGCAGGGGAGGGGTTGCGACAACTCATATTTTGTCATTTTTCATCATTGTAGCTTGTACCAGGCATCTATGACACCAGATTTCGCAATATAAAATGGAATGAAAAAAGCCAATTCAATGGGACTTTTCAAAGCCCAGCTAGTGAAAAGAAAGCATAAATTAAGGATTCTTACCTGTCTCTAAAAGAAGCTTCACAATCCAAAAGTTTGAATGAGAAACGCTGTAATGAAGGGCTGTGTTGCCATTTCCATCGGCTAAATTGACAATGACACTCTGTAGGTGGGGATGAACCGCCTCAATCTCCTGGAGGTAAGCTGCAACAATTCCAGAGGACGAAGATTTCCTGCTTGAGATTCGAAACCACTCCTGACACACAGTGCTCAACACATGCCTCTAAAAGGATCAGAATCTGAGTTAGGTTAATGGTGTAGGTAAACTATCCAACCATGTTTGTATTTTTTTGACTCCCAAACCATAATAATCTCACTTTGGCCTCTTGAAAATAAATGGGTTTTCATTTATTAGGGGGAAATCTATTGCTTTATTTAAAAGCTATGAATAATATGGCATCTGAAATAACTGGATTATTTGCTACTTTCTACTAGAATGTTCCTTTCATTAAATTCTGAGGGGGAATATATTCAAGAGTTGTCCCTTCAGCTGTATCATATATCAGAGTACATATTTAAGCAATTATTTCTCTATTTCAGATGCATTGATTTTAACTGTTTTTATATGACACCCAGGGTCTCTCGAACAGTGAGATAGGAAGCATATAAATTTAATAAACAAATAAATAAATAAACCATGCATGTCTAGCTAATAATTGGAAGGATTTCTCTTTTTTTTTCTGGAAAGTTCTTTACACTCACTGTTTATTTGACACCCACCTAATTCTTCTAAATGGATAGCTTTACACTCTTTTTGTTGTTTTGTTCTCCGATATAGCCCCTAAGATTATTGGATGAAGAAGAGTAAGAACCCTTAAATACCGGCAGTATAATTTTGTTCAGCTACATTGCTTGAATTGATGATTAATCTATGACTCCTCTATCTTCAGTGTTTTACCTAGCTGGATTTTTTTTTAACTAATTGCTACCAGATAAGTAAACCATAATATTTAAAAGTCAGTGATGTTATGGTTTAGATGCTGGAACAAAAACGAGGAGACCAGGACTTCTTTAGACATGAAAGTGGGTTGGCTGACTTTAGGCCAATCACTCGCTCTCTCAGCCCACCCTTTCCTTCAGAGCTGTGATTATGGGGAAAATAGGAGGATTACTTAGGTGACTTTGAATTGTACTAAATAGAGGTAGGATCAGTGTTGGGATTCAGCAAGTTCTCACCACTTCAGGAGAACCAGTTGTTAACTTTCTGAGCAGTTTGGTAAATTGGTTGTTGGAAGAAATCATTAGGGCAGAGAACCGGTTGTTAAATTATTTGAATCCCATCACTGGGTAGGATATAAAGCTGATTAATAAATAATTTACTTATAATTTAAAAACCAGTTATACTGGTTGGCCTTACTACACTTCCTTCCTAATGTGGTAGATAACCAGAACATGTTTTCACTATTTCCTAAGACACAGACTTCACGTTACAAAAAATGCTATTTATTTCTGACATGCATACTTTGGCTCAATCCATTCAGATTCTAGGCAGGTTTTATGTGTATAGATTAAACATTACAGTTATTACAGTTAATTGCCAATTACTTCTCTTTGCACCTTGATCAGAAGATAGATTTACTCTGCAGACATAATTTATTATATTTAATTAAACAGCAATTGACAAGTGATGCTATTAAGAAACAAACATGGGTATTTGACCCAGGATGAATTATTTATAACTTTTGGAATGATTTGGGATAGACAAGATAGAATTTGGGATAGACAGTGGTAAACTTTCTACAATTGGATTACAATGACAGTTTGTTAACAGGCATTTATAATGCCTTAGTAAGACCACACTTGGAATACTGCATCCAGTTTTGGTTGCCACTATGTAAAAAAGATGTTGAGACTTTAGAAAGAGTGCAGAGAAGAGCAACAAGAATGATTAGGGGACTGGAAGCTAAAACATATAAAGAAAAGTTGCTGGAATTGTGTACGTCTAGTTTAATGAAAAGAAGGACTAGGGGTGACATGATAGCAGTCTTCCAATGTTTTAGGGGTTGCCACAAAGAAGAGGGAGTCAACCTATTCTCCAAAGCACCTGAAGGCAAGACAAGAAGCAATGGATGGAACCTAATCAAGGAGAGAAGCAATCTAGAACTAAGGAGAAATTTCCTGACAGTTAGAACAATTAATCAGGAGAACAACTTGCCTCCAGATCTGTTGAATGCTCAACACTAGAAGTTTTTAAGAAGAGATTGGACAACCATTTGTCTGAAATGGTATTGGTATAAGGTTTCCTGAGTGGGACAGCAGATTTCCTGAGAAGGGTTTGATTAGAAGACCTCCAAGGTCCCTTCCAACTATGTCATTCTGTTAATTTCAACAGAGTTTTTTTCAACTTTAATTTTGTTTTGTATTACTATCATTGTTTTTCCTGTTAACTACTTTGTCACTAACACAACATATAGAAGACAGATCAACAATTTGCAAATAGATTTAGTAGCATAAAAATTTTGGAAGGGCCTGTTCTGCAATGGGTGGGAACTAATGTTGTAATAATATTAATCAGTACTCAGCTAGAGGGGATAATATGTGTATATGTCTTTTTTTTTCCTTTGATGCACTTAAAAAAAATGTTTTGATTGTTGTGTTTGTATTTTTTCCTCTCTTTTTTTTAGTGAGTTTTGAATTTTGTATTTTAACCTTGTCTTGAATAATATATATCAGTTGGCTTAGCCAGGGCTTGTGCTAGCTAAGAATTCTGTGGCATGCAGCTTAACTTTATCTGAAAGATACCAAGCACACACTGTACACATAAGAAATTTGTCCTCCAAATGTGGATTTCAGCAACACATTGACCAATAAAAACAAAAGACCAATAAAAAAAGGAGACTTGATCTCCTTTTTTGAATCTTTGTGTCCAGCAGCCTCACTTTCTTTGTAGCTAAAAAAGGTTAAAGCTATTTCTGCAGGGTCAACATGTTCTAATGTGAGATCTGCAATGCATTGTCTTTTCTTTTTTTTTTTTACAAAAGAACTAAAGACATTGTTTTATTGTTGTCTGTCACAAGGATGACATATATTTATGAATGTGTTATTTGCACTTACACTTAACCTAGTTATTAAATTCTACCCCAAAATTCAATTTGGTTTTTGAGAAGAGGAATTTCAAAATTCCTAGGACTATTAACGGTTAGTGCTCGTATATAAAATTAAACGTAAATTATAAGGTTTTAAAGAAAGATAAAAGAAACACATGATTAAAATGCAAATGGGAAAAAAAAAACAGGAGTACCAGGAATTTGTCCTTTGTGGTCCTTATTTCTGACAAGTTTTTGCTTAAGATCTGGCACCCTTTGAGAAAATCTCCCGAGGGTCTAAATCTGAAAATGAAAAACATAATTGTGTGTGTTTATCTAAGAAATACATAAGGAATGGTGATTGGGAATTCAAAAAAAAATATAGATATGGCAATGGACAAGGGATCTTATTATAAATCTCTCAAGCCTTGATGACTTTCCTTTTTATTCCTTTACTACCAATTCTACTTTTACTATTAAGACCCTACTTTGTACTTATCTCTGAAGTTATTGGAAAAGTTCAAAGCAGAAAGTCAAAATAGCAATTAGGGCTACAGCAAGAATTTAAATGCATCCCTACAATAGCAATAGCAGTTAGACTTATATACCACTTCACAGTGCTTTACAGCCCTCTCTAAACAGTTTACAGAGTCAGCATATTGCCCCCAACAATCTGAGTTCTCATTTAACCGACCTCAGAAGGAAGGAAGGCTGAGTCAATCTTGAGCCTGGTGAGATTCGAACAGCCAAATTGCAGACAGTCGGCAGTCAGCAGAAGTAGCCTGCAGTGCTGCATTCTAGCCACTGCACCATGGCGGCTCTTAATTATATATGTTAATAAGTATATTACCAACACTGGCCACAATCCAATGGAGTGAGGCATGCTAGATTCGATTGCATGATTTCTCTTAGATTATATTCATAATTCTCATACACACAATACCCTGCTTAGTTAGGAGCAGAACTCTAGTTCATCAGGAGTTTCCTTGAAAGAAAGTTCCTTCACAAGAATTATACAACTGTTGGTAAGTTACTGTATGCATGACGATGCCATTGTCTACAGAATGGCTCAAGGCTTTGATGAAGGAAAAGTGGCCCACAGGCTAAACATTAAATTCTCTTATCTGCCTTTTTTTCCCCAGCATCACTATTCCAAAGTTAACTTATAAATCTATTGCTAGCTTTATAATTAAATATATGGATTTAACTATACATTCTACATGAAACCCAAGATCTGCTCAAAGAATAGATGCAGTCCTCCACTTACAACCATAACTGAACCCTAAATTTCTGTTTATAAGTGAAACAGTTGTTAAGTGAGTTTTGCCACATTTTACGACCTTCCTTGCCAATGTTGTTAAGTGAATCACTGCAGTTGTTAAATTAGTAACACAGTTGTTAAGCGAGTCTGGCTTCCCCATTGACTTTGCTTGTCAGAAGGTTGCAAAAGGGGATGACATGACCCCAGGACACTGCAACGGACTTAAATATGAACAAGTTGCCAAGTGTCCAAATTTTGATCATGTGACCATAGAGATGCTGCAACAGTTATAAGTGTGAAAAACAGTCATAAGTCACTTTTTTCAGTGTGGTTGCAACTTTGGTTACTAAATGAATGTTAATAAGTCGAGGACTATCTGTATCAATAAATATCATCAGTGTTAAAACTTTTCTTTATATAAACACAGATATTATTTTTCTCACTACATATTTCACCTGCAGATCATGTTATGAAACACAAATTGTTATGGGCTGATTACTTGCAGTTATATACAAAGCTGTAATTACCTCTCAGCTTTATCTTGCATTGTTGATTGTGTGGTTTCCTCTAGTTTTCCTGGATCGCGGTCCTTCTTTGCACTTGGAGGAGTTGCAGATGTTGATTGTTCATCTTCTTTGACCTCTTCCCCCCAACTTTGCTCCTCGTTCCCATGTTTTCTGTCCATCTCATTATCTGAATCACCTTCAGAGGAGTTTTCTTCACAGCTAGAATCTTCGCTGGACGTGGTTTCATAACTGAATATGAACACCAGGCATTACTTAGTTTTCTCTTTTGACAAGCAAAACAAGTAGTCAGCCCCAAATGTTTAACTCTAAAATTCACCCTATGCAAGACATATGGATTTAAGATGCAAAGAAGTTGATATGTATGTTCTTTGACTTATTCTTGGTCAATTTTTTTACTGCTTATAGTAATAAAATATGTATCTGAAATTAGGGTAACTCGGAACTCAGAGCTGACTTGAAAAATATGGTTTTTTATTGTAAACCACCCAGAGTCACTTAAGGTGAGATGGGCAGTGGGGGGGGGAGGGAGGGGGCGGAGAGGGAGCGAGAGAGAGAGGAATGATAGATGATGGAAATAATCATCTTGAAAGAATTATAGTAATGTTTTAGCTAGAGCTTTTTTTGAATAGTTTGCAGTGCTACTCATGCAGAATTATTAGGTGACTGAGTTTGTACACTGCATGGTTTATTTAATCACAGTTGTTGAATAAGTCACCATTGCCAGGATTCAAACAAAACACCAAGCCAATAAGTTTAAAAACCTCAATCAAAACCACATTATGACTTAAGAGTAGTGTGTGCAATCAAGTGTTTGCTTAGCCTAAGTTGAATGGAAGTTAATTCCAAGGAAATGAGCATAAAAGTGTAGCTACCATCATTATTGACAGAATAAATTAATTCCTAGAAACACAGTCGACTGCTAATGCCAAAGGGGGAAAACAAACTGGCTGTTTTACCTGGAAATATACATGACAGACACTGGTCTCATTGTTATTTTTATTCGATGTAAAATAGCAGCATTGCTTTGGTATCAGTAATACCAAAGCAATGCTGCTATTTTACATCGAATAAAAATTTATCCTGTTAATCTATGCATTCCTGACATTCATTTTTACTGCTGGATGGACAAGTAAATAGAAGAGGCATTTGGCGCATATATTTGAATAACACAGTATACTATTTTGCTTTTCGGGGGGGGGAATGAGTATTCTAGGCCACACAAAGGTCAACCAGATACATTCAGATAACTCCAAACAAGGAATGCCAGCTGTAACAGCTGGCATTCAAAGCATGTTGCATCTAGCAGATAGAGATCAAGACAAGCAGCCACTGGTAGCCATTTGTGCATTTTTAAAAAAAGCAAAACTGCCTCTGTGTCAGAGCATTTTAAAGCCATTAGCCCTTGCATGACTACGCTCTTTTTATTGATGATGTTCTTCAGTTCCTACATCAGTAAGTTACTTTTTAAAAGTGGTTTTGCTACAATAGGCTGTTCCTGAAAGTTTGCAAAATGCAGTCAAACTAAATGGTCCTGGATTTGTAAATTAATTGTTATTAAAAGAATTGTCCTGACGATACTTGTTTTAAATTGTAAGGAGTTGCATTAAAGGGTTTTAGTGTGAAGAGAACCTTAAGGTAAACCATGGAATTAGCTTGTATTTACTGCTTCATGAAGAAATCAATGTTTGATTGATCTTTCTTTCTGCACATGCTTGATGATGTTATAACTAGAAAGGTTCATAGGGCATTTAAAAATGAGAGTAATGAAAGAAAAATAAAATTTCTCCCAATGCCATAACTAATTTGTGGCACCTAAAACATCAGTTTAAGTACAGAAGTAATCATAATATTGTGAGCAATGATTAAGAATACTGTGCACTTTCAAATTTTTGAACCAAAAAAATTCATTCTCATCAGTCCAGATCTGATGAGTAGGCTCATCTGATTTAGGTAACTGACTTACCTGAGTGTGAATTTAAGCAATAATTCCGTAGCTAACTAAGTCATCCCTATTTTGTAGACACTTAATTCAACTAAAATAATTTGAAACATTTCCACAAATATGACAAACATGATATTTGTGATTTCCTTATATGAGCTCACTTATTAATGAAGAACTAGTTTTAATTACTTAATGAGTGATATTAGATGGAACCAGATTGAGATTATTGTGCAAAGACTTTCCCACAAAATCTAAAAAAAGCTATTGTGGTTCACAATAAACCATGCCTTTATATTTAACGTCTTGGCACACCTTCCTGGATTGCTCAGACCTTACTCTAGTAAAATCACAAGGAAGAGATCTGTATCAACAATTATATCCAGATTCAGGAAGAATTTGATTAGTATTTAGTAAACAACCCAAGATATCCATTTAAAGATTGCTTTTACAGTATGTTGAGGCACAATAACTACTTCTCATTTCTGCTTAGTCATTATGGTGGAGGAGGAGGAGAGTGGGGGGGGGAATAGGATGACTCGTCACAACCAATTTGCCATGGGCAACTGGCCGTGGGACAACTCGCCGCTAAGACAATTCCACACAGGATAACTGAATGCAATAAATGTTATCCACCACTGTTTCTTCTACATTATTTCCATTGACAAAAATGGAAATAATGTCAAAGAAACTGTGGCAGATAGCATTTATTGCATTGAGTTATCCCGCGTGGAACTGTTCCACAGTGAATTGTCCCTTGGCAAGTTGGTCGTGGCCAAGTTGTTGGCAAGTTGGTATGGCTGTAGAGACTTGTCCTAGACGTGGAGGAAGAGCAAGACTCAGTTCAAAAAACCAGGCTATTATCTAGTGCAGAAATGAGTCTGCTTCCTCTGCTGACATGGAATCTGCTAGAGGCAGGAACTCATGGCAAAGGAAGATGGGCACAAACAGGAGTGAGCAATCTTTGGGATGTGGACAAGACTGCATTAATATTTGGGGAAACAAGACTTCATTGACTAGAGACTGCAATTTTAGCAAGGCAGATAAAGAGGAACCTAAAAGGTTTTTTAAAAGGAGCTTAGAGTGCTACATCCAGCCTAGGATCTCCAGGTGTCCATTAGTGTTGCATGTGCCTACATTAGCTGTTGATTTAGGAGATTCGATCTACCCTCCCGATACTTTTTCTTCCTCTTGATGTTTGTCTTTGCCTAACTTTCTTATTTCCAGCAGGGATTGTTTTGCTTCTTAGGAAGGAAAAGGAAGGCGTTACTGTAATCCTGAGTATAATGATGCAGAAATAAATGGCCATTTGCCCCTAGGTAGCCACATAATCTCCTTCAACCATCAGTAGCCGCTGACTCTGCTCATTTACTGACTGAGTCAATTGCCAACTGCAGTAAACTTCCATTTTCCATGTGGTCATTTTTATATGCTTGCTTTACCCTTTTAAAAAAAAAATCCAGGGGGAAATATTGCTATGGAATAAATTGTACGTTTAGATTTGGAGCCAAGGGACAGGGATTACTTATGACTGGTGAGAAAGGATTTGATTAACATGGGGGAAAGGTGCAGTTGACTGATCCTGATGCCCTGGGAGCCAAGAACTATTAAGCCTCCCAGAAACTGGCAGGACCTGACCGTAAGCAACCTATAATAGTAATTGTCCCAAACTGTGAACTGTACAACACTTTCAGTTCTCTGAGTAATAGATTCAAGAACTCCCGTGTGCTTTTTTTAATGGTGGCTTGTAAGAGAAAATCGGGTAACAATCGTAATGACATTATTTGGACTCCTCTTTAGAAATCCAAAGAGGAAGAAGGTTAAATTGAAGGCTAAATACAATAACAGTATGGAATAAGATATGTAAGATAATATAAAGAAAGTAATGCATGGTATGTACAATTAAGTAATAACACTAGTGTGGCATACAAGTTATGACTGCTCATTTGGCAACTATTCAAACTTGCGATGGTGCTGAACAAGAAGGGCTTATGAGCAGTCCTCAAGAGTTCTGGCTGTCACATTGTCCCTGTAGTCAATTACAATTTCTGACATCCCTTGCCAATGTCCCACAAGCAAAGGCATTGGGGAAGCCAATAGGAAGTCAGAAGTCGCAATCATGTGAAGTCCATGCTTCTTACCAAACTGTGCTTAATTATGGCAATCAGGTTTGCTGGAATTGTCATTGCTTAGTGATGTGGTCACATGACACTGCATTTTACAACCCCATCACTTAGCAATGGCAATTCTGGTCCCATTTGCCATCATAACCTGAAGACTACCTGTATTGAGGCTCGCTGCATAGTCCTTTACTCATTCATTGGAACAAGTATCATTTCTTTTCTGAAATGTGGGTTGAGCTTCTCCTTGATCACTAAGCAAGGAATCAATTATGCTTGAAGCAGGAATATATGAGCCCTATTAATTACATTCTCTTTATTGCTTCTTGGCAACTTTTGACAGTGATCTAATCCACAGTAGAATGGAAGAGGAATAAACAAAGTTACATTACATCAGACATGTCCGTATCATTCTGAACACACATGCAATGAAGCATTATAAAATGAAAAGGCAATCTTGTCCCTTCCACTGATGCTTACCCACCATTTACCCCAACAAACTGAAGGTTCTTTTTGGTGCCATTACTTCCTTCGTGGAAACCAGCTTCTTTCTTTTTCATAATAGATTTCAGACTTGTACTTGGAGAGATTTCTGATAGAAATAAGTTTTAAAACAATTATATAAAAATGTTATCATCACCGCTCTTTCTTAATATTACCATATATGTTGCAAATGCTGAGTTCTACTGCCAATTTCTACTGCCATGACAGATGTTCATGATGGACATCCCTGGATGGCCAGGGCTTCATGCAGCCACCATGCATTCTTCCCAATGAACAGGAATTCTCATGCCAACATAGATGTGGTAGAAAAATCTTCCACGCTTTTCTCTACTGTGAGTCATACAAACACATTATGGCAGCTGAAGTCCGTAAAAAGAATTGTGACAATGTAGGAACAAGAACTGAGGGTACTGTGGGCAACCAAAAAATAAACACATGGATTACCAAACAAATCACTCCAGAGTTTTCCTTCAATGTACAAATTACCAGGTTCAAATTGTCCTACTTTGGACACATTATGTAGAGCAGAGGTCTTCAAACTTGGCAGCTTTAAGACTTGTGGACTTCAACTTCCAGAATTCTCTGGAGAATTAGCTGGAGAATTCAGCTGGCTGGAGAATTCTGGAAGTTGAAGTCCACAAGTCTTAAAGCTGCCAAGTTTGAAGACCTCTGATGTAGAGACTTAGCTCTCTGGAGAAGGCTCTAATGCTGGGAAGGTGAGACAAAAGAGGAGGACAACTAGTAGCAAGGTGGGTGGGCTCAGTTACACTGGCAGTGAGTGAAAGTACAATTGGAATCCCCAAAAGACCCTACTAGGGACAGATTGTTATGGAGAAAATCTACCTGTGTGGTTGTTAAGAGTCAGATAGAAGATGCTATGAGTGACAACAGACATTATTCCCCACTTTTCCCCATTGTCCTGAATTGTCCATGATGATTTGACTCATTTCTCAGGCTAACTTTTAATTAAAAGTTCTTTCCAATTGGGCTGATAAAGAGCTGTAAGTGAATAGGAAAAGAATCGGATCAAACAACATCCGTTCGTACAATACAGCATTTTTCTGAAAGGCAACAAGCAAGCATATGGAAGTGGTATTAAACAGCAGTGAGATATTAGGCACCAAGCTATCTACACAATGAAGCCCAATCTACACTCCAATACATGTCTGTTGTCTTCAGGAAGGAGGTTATCCTATGATCAGTCTAAGATGCCTCAAAAAGGCATCATGTTGTCTATCAATACTGCCAAGTACATTTCTTGAGCTAGACCTGCTCCAGGTGATAAATTGCCAACTGCAGAACTATGGCAACTAATCTGTGATATTCTAGATAATTTTATTTGTTTGCTTGTTTATTTGCTTACTTATTTGTATCCCATCTTTATTATTTTTACAAACAATCCAAAGTGGTGAACCTATCCAACACATCTTCCTCCTCCTATTTCCCCTACAACACCACCCACTTGGTTTTCATGGCTAAGTCAGGACTTAAACTCATGGTCTCCTGCTTTCTAGCCTAGTACCTTAACCAATAGCCCAAACTGGCTCTCATCCACAATGAAAAAGACTACCAGAGTTCACATTTAGTATGAAATGCTAATAATAGTATATTTTCCTACAAGACACTCTGGTTATTTTATATTGTATTTTGGTTGTATTGTCTGGACATTTCTACTTTGAAGAACCGTAAAAGCTATCTGGGGCTACCTATGCTAGCCTAATCTGGGCAAAAATAAGACTAGTGACTATGGCAGTACATAACATCTGGAACGAATTAATTTGCTTATCTGCACAATGGAGCATTAGGTCTCAGTATGAAAAACTGGTTATTTGTTCTGCTTGCCAAAGGATTATTGAATTGGGCTAATTAATTGTGATTTTAAATTATTAATACACATTAAGGCTCTGTTTCTTTTCAAATGCATCTACGTGCTTTTAAGTTCTGAAATTTAAAACTTTCTATTCAAACTATAAACTTTGTACATACTGTAACTTTCTTTCTGCATTAATTTGCCTTAGAATTTTTCTCTTGTGGTGGTTTAATATCGTCAGGCAAATGTAAGCAAGCCAGTGTCTCCCAGATATTTTGGATTGTAAACTCTTTTTTTTTTTTTTTTTGGTAAACACTTATCAGCCAAAGTTGGTGGAAAAGATTGTGAGTGGACAACAAATTGCCTACCTCTTCATCATTCTGAGAATCTTGAGATGGGTCATTTTCTGAACTCCATAAGTTTGCCTATACATTCCAGAAGATTTTTTTTGAATTTGCTAAAATGTTTTGTTTTACATCACATCATGTGCTACGATCTGATGGCAACATATTTGATAGCATCACCACATATGCACCATATGGCAGGTGTCTAGAATCATGCTAGATGGCCTAAAATGTTGGAAACGTATTTCAATGTTCCAATCTAATTTTCACCTAGCATGCTCAATCCCTCTACCCAGATCAGAGCAAGCACACACCACTCAGTTCTGCTAGAAAAAAAAAATACATGGCTTGATCTTTATTTATTAAACATCAGCAAACGCCACAATAGTTAACTGGCAAAAGCAGGAAAATGCAGGGAGACAGGCGAGAATTTAGCTATATCTCTATACGTAAAAAGGCACAAAATTTTCCAGAGCTACTAGAAATTATATTGTGAATAATTAGCATGGGTGGTGGCCTTTCTTTTATCCCATGTTTAAATCTTTTGTATATAAAGTGGCAGAAGAGAGATTGAAAGAAGAAAGAAGGTGATCCCTCCTCAATTCTGCACTATTAATGAAAGAATTGACTGAATAGGGATGATAAAAATATAAAACTCCAATTTCCCACAGTTTTTCTCCCCGTATTATTAGAGATCCATTCACTCTGGAGGGGAGATTTGTCAGAATTCCACAGGTCTCTGAGCTCATTCAATCCTTACTGGACAATTGAAAGAATTATCTTTTCCATTTAGGATTTTGTCCTTTCATTATTTTCCGGATTTGAAAACCCTCGGGACCTACCAAGTCTATTTAATATCTTCCTTTTAGGCATTTTAGACAAAGAACAAAGACATTCACATTTTTAATTTCAAACTGAACTTTGAAATTGGACTGAAAATTTTAAGAGATGGAATGGAATCATAGGGAATAAACTTACAATATGCTTGGGAAAAGGACATCCTACACTGCGTAGATTATGAGAACAAACATTTGTGAAATTCAACATGAATAAGGGCTCTTCTCTGTCTTGTTGTTCATTAAAATGTAAGGCTAGAGATCTATACAAGGTTTCTGCCAAAGTCTGTCATTTGTCAGCCACATTTAGCTCACTAGGTCACATTGTCACATGCTGAGACAGCAAACTAGAAAGCCCAGATCATTCAGAGATAGCATGGCAAAAATTAGAATGTCGATAATGCATGACAGAGAAGGAAGACTATCGGCTGATTTTCTACTATCACAAGAGATTGAAAAGTAGAATCTGAGAGTGACTAGGATTTGCTGTTGTTGTTTTACATGTGACAAACCTTACATTTAAACTTTAGCTGTCCATAATTTAAATCAAAAAGAGGCATCAGAGTTTGCCCACGATCAGGAACACCTTATAGTTTTGGCACAATAGTAGGCATTGTGGCAAAACAGGCACTGACCCAAAATATTTTGTTATCTAAGGCAAAGCGCATAGTAAGCTCCCCACCCCCTATTCTACGTAGTGAGGCTTCTTTGATGGCAGCATCCACCAACACTGAGAAGGTCAAAATCTGAAGTCAAGGACAAGCTATGTGATATTTAAAGCTTTGACAGAGATAAGAGCCATGGAGCTCAAGAGCCAATGTTCCCAAACATACCATTCTAGTATGCTTACAGTAGAATCAGTTTTGTACCTCAGGTAGTCCTTGACTCACAACCATTTTTTTTAGTGACTACTCAAAGCAGTGGTGGGGTTCAAAATTTTTTTACTATCGGTCCGGTGGGCATGGTTTGGTAGGTGTGGCTTGGTGGGTGTGGCAGGGGAAGGATACTGTAAAATCTCCATTCCCTTCCCACTCCAGGGGAAGGTTACTGCAAAATCCGCATTTCCTCCTGATCAGCTGGGATCAGCTGGGCAGAGAATAGATGGGGGTGGGGCCAGTCAGAGGTAGTATTTACCAGTTCTCCGAACTATTCAAAATTTCTGCTACTGGTTCTCCAGAACTGGTCAGAACCTGCTGAATACCACCTCGGCTCAAAGTTACAACAGCGCTAAAAATTGACTTACAACCATTTTTCACATTTATGCCGCTGCAGCACCCCCTTGGTCATGTGATCAAAATTCAGACACTTGGCAACTGGCATGGATTTATGATGGTTGCAATTTCCCGGGGTCACGCGATTACCTTTTGTGACCTTTTGACAAGTGACATGAATGGGGAAGCCAGATTCACTTAACAACTGTGTTAAGTGTAACTTAACAAGTGAGTATTTCACTGAATAGTTGTGGCAAGAAAGGATGTAGAACAGGGCAAAACTCAACAGCTATGTTGCTTGGCAATCGAAATTTCAAGCTGAATTGTGGTCGTAATTTGTATTGACTTACTTTTATCATATTGTATGCTTATTGTATGCTTATTTATATGCAATGAAATACCACTTCCTCATTTGGGAATCTTGGACTAAATGAGTAGAAGGATTGATTTCCCTGACTGGTACCAGTGGTGGGTTGTCCCTGGTTCGGACCGGTTTGCAAGAAATGGTAGTAAAACCAGCAGGAGGCTCCGCCCACCACCCCGGATGTTATAGGTGATCTGCGCATGCACAAAAGCTTGGCGCGCACATGAGCGAAGCAATCCCATTGCAAACCAGTAGTAAAGGTAAGTAGAACCCACCCCTGACTGATACCAACTCAAGATCAGGGTTATTGATTTAATGAATGCTACATGTACATAGTGAGCATTCCAATTAGTATAAATTTCTTGTTCTATTTGAAAATCATTTAATATTCCAGAGTTTGTACACCTAAGCTTCTTTCATAACTTTTGCTTGTTTTTCCATACTAGCTTTTTTAATATATATATATATATGTACAGGTAATCCTCTTTTATAAGTCATAATATATTTTTAAGTATTAACTTAGAATAATGGGAGCCCAGGCTCTTAGTACATAACTTCTTTGAGATTTTCCCAGACAACTGCAAAGAAGGTATGGACAGTACATTAAGCTATGTTTTGTTTTTTAAAAAATCAGGGAATATTCTGTAAATATCTTAGTTTTACTTTTTTATTTTGAAAAAGCAATTATGTCTACTTGATTTGTTTGTCAAGTGCTACCCCTGAATACCATCAGTGTAAGAGAAGGAAAGACTGGCTTTGTCAAAACTATTTACCCAACTGTTGATACTGTGTGTTGGAATTCTCTTGGTCTGTTGGTGTCTGTGCTGAGTAGGCAGAGAGCAGCAAATTCAGAGAATTAACAAGTTGATTCTGGATCGAACTGAGCTTTGAGGCAGGATGCTTTATTGCACTGGCTAGCTCGGGATACCCATGTTCTAGGCACAGCCACTGCTCTTGTAAGAGATCCTGGATTTTTTTAATGTATTGGCCCACAATGGGATCTGTAGGTGATTCCTTTGCTTCTTGGTGATTCTGCTCCTCCTGTTCTCGCTGAGCATCTTCTTGAAAAATGATTTGCATTCCTTTGGATTTTATGTCAGCGGTCTTGGGAGCAGAATCATTTTCTCCCCCAGGAACAAAGAGGGTCAAAGGGTTTCTTTCTGTCTTGTTTTCATTACCAACATGTAGCTCATCATAGCTTGGTTCAACAATAGAGCAATCACTTTCCTGAACAATTCTCTCTCCTTCCTCATTTCTCTGCAAAGTAGGCTCATCTCTTCCTCCATCATCAGCAATAACACCTGATATCTCAGCACCGAGTAGCACATTACATATTTCCACATTTTTATCGTCAGCCTCGTAAGTATCACCTCCTAGAGGTTCCACAAGCTCCTTGATGCTTACAGAAATCTCTTTTTCATGCATCACCTTTTCATGTACATGTTCGGTATTCACAGCAACATCGAAGTATTGGGGGGCATTTCTGGCCTGCACGCCTGGCTTAATTTCTTTGATGTTTTCCCCACAGAGTTTCTCTTCCAGCTGGGCTTTAGAACTTGCTAGCAATTCAATGCTTCTCTCTTTTGCTTTGATTTCTTGATCCTGTTGCTTCAAAACCATCCGGATCTGCTCGAGTTCTTCTGTTTTGTGATTCAGCTGCTTCTCCAAAATTGCAATATGCTGCTGTAACGCTCTTATATTGCTGGGACCTTTAAGAAGGAAGGGCTCGAGTTCTATATTTTCCCCCACTTCTCTAGTGCTAAAACCTGTCATTTCATCCTCTTCCTCTGCTTCTTCTGTAACAGTCTCACATATGTTAAGTTCTATTTCTTCCTGGGATTGCTTTACAGACATATTTTCTGAGGTACCGGTAGGGGCCAAACCACTCTGAACTAATGATGGATATATCTGTGACTCATGACATTCTTCTCCACTCTTGACCACCTCAAGGAATTTCTGAGAAATTAGGGGTTGGCTTTGCTGTGAATCACTGGGTTGTGTTATTTCCTTAGGAAGCTCTGTTTTTTGCTGGTCTAACAGAAGCTGAGCTTCTCTCCGTAATCCTGGACTTTTCTCAGAATCCTGGATGGCTTTATTGGTTTGCTCTTTCATATCCGTTAGATTTTCATGAGGGGTTAAGGGAGATCTTTTGGAACTAATTAACTCGGATGGCTTTTTTGCAGGGCTAAAATCAAGCTCTAAACCATTTCCATTGGAAGACCGAAGAAATCCCGAAGGCAGAAAAGCTGCCTGGTGAGTTTCTTCTTCTAAATTTGGAATTGGTAGAAGTTTGGCAGGCATGCTGGATGCCCTTAGAAGCTGAGGCCTTCCTTTACAATTGGCAGTCTCCTCTTCAAGGGGAAGAGGATCTTGTCTGACAGTCTCTATTAGCAGGGCTTTCTTTCTGTAGCTCGGTCCTTGGGGAAGAGTTGAATGTGAAGACGTGTCAATGGGTGTGACCAGGGATCTGCTCCCCTCTGCATCTAAGGAGGTCTTTCTCTGTGTAAGGAAACTCTTGTTTAAGGAGGACGAATAGACATTGGATCCATTTTCTGGAAGGCTAAAGTTCCGAGGCAGGGTGCTAAATTTGGGGTGCTTAGTTTTCCGGCGGACTGGAATTCTCTTGATAGTATTTCCCTTTTCAATGTCATCGACATACTTCAGGAAGTCAAGATCTAAATGGAAACCGTAGGGGGTTTCAACAGAATAGGGACTTTGGGGTGGATCTTTATCCTCTGCTTTTGATGCCCAGTTATCTGTTAACATGAAAAAAAAATGGAAACAAAAAATAAAAGCTTTAATTTATAAGAGATTATATTGAAATCTAGAAATCTCATTATTATCCAAATTCACTCTTCCTGATACATATAAATAGTCGAAGGCAAACCTAAATATTTAGGAAAAACAATTAGGAAATATTCTTCTCTTTTTAGATTAATTGTTCAGGAAATTCTACACATCTGCAGAGCTGTTGGCTTGAAAGTAGAACAAGCCTATAAAACTTTTTACTTCTGACTGGACATAAACAACTTTTATACTGAAACAACCCATATACTTATCATGCATCATTCTTATTCCAAAGATTTCACTGCATAAATTACACAAGCCCAAGGATGGAGTTCTATGGAAAGGCCAGAAGGAAGTAACAAAGTATTTTGACTAAGTAACATTATGCACACAGAATATTAATAACAGGCAGATTAAGGCTGATCTTTTTGAGCTTATTAGGTTTCATCCCAAGGAAGTTTAAAATGTTAGTTCCTTGGAGGAAAGACAGGATATATATATATATATATATATACATTTCTGCCTCTAGGTTGCAGCAATACAGACCTATTCCAGTACTGATGAAAATCAGCCTGTATCAGTATGCATAACTTTTTATTCTAAATGCTAGTTATAGCTTCAGGCACAACTACAAGGCAGCTTCATTAAATCACTGTGCAGTTAGTCTCCATCCACAAGGCAAAGAAGGAAAGAATGGCTGGCAATTTGTCATTCAAGACATCTCTGTAGAGTCAGCTAGAATATATAGCCCCAAAGAGGGATGTGAAAATATATAAACTTATTTTCTGTGACTCCACAGATATTTGTTCCACTACGAGTCCTCAGGAATTTGCTAAATCATCACTCTAATTGATAATTGTGTAAACAACAGCTTCTGCAGACTGCATTACAGATCTGCTTTAAAAGCCACACGATTCTAATATATGTGAAATCTTTACTATTATGTTCAGTGCTGATAATGCATTTTTCAACATGTTTTCTAACCATGACAAGTACTTACTGGCATGGATTTAACAGTAGTCTTGACGAAAAAGAATGCTACGTCAACCTTGCTCTTTTTAAAATGTAAGAATGTTTCAGTGGGCACACAAAATGGCATGGCCCCAGATGTTTATTTAGTCTATAAAGCTAAATAGATAAATACTATTTAGGCATTTGTTAATGGTCTTCTAAGAGCAATTCTTGCTAAATAGACTTCACTGCATAATGTATTTTTGGCTCTTGGATATGTTCTTTGGAATACTGAGTACAAAACACCCTAAGGAGTGGTGCTCATCTCCGTTTCAAAGCCGAAGAGCCAGTGCTGTCCGAAGACGTCTCCATGGTCATGTGGCCGGCATGACTAAACACCAAAGGCGCACAGAACGCTGTTAGCTTCCCACCAAAGGTGGTCTCTATTTTTCTACTTGCATTTTTTATGTGCTTTCGAACTGCTAGATTGACAGAAGCTGGGACAAGTAACGGGAGCTCACCCCATTATGCGGCACTAGGGATTCAAACCGCTGAATTGCTGACCTTTCGATCGACAAACTCAGCGTCTTAGCCACTGAGCCACCGCATCCCTAAAGAAATACTACAGCAGGGCTAATATAATTATAATTGGTTAGTTAATCTGATTAAATTGAATTATTTAATTCAAAGCCAAACTATCCTTGATGCTGCTTGGGGATATAGTTACTCAATATCCATATACCCATGCATATGGGTAACTATAAAAAATAGTAAGAATGACAGGTTCTATTCTTTTAACCTCAGTATTGATCGAATCTCAGTAAGAACAACCCCATCACTGCTCTTCACAATGAAAACCAAGCTGGCATTGGTGCTAAATGTCTACCTTTGTTTAAAGACTACCTATTCATAAAACACAATTCTGCTAACTTTGTCTGGGAAATCTTCTCCAACCTTTTTGTTTAAAATGCTGTCTAGATCTCCAACTTGCATTCTTTTTGGTTAGAATTTATGCATTCGAGTTTCTTTCCACAGATCAAGGGGAAAGGCCGTTTGATCAATCTGAAAATCTTAATCATCCCATCTTCCTAATTTCCAGTCATTTATCAGAAGCAATTATCAATGACGCCATTCAAAAATACATGCTTTCTGAAAAACACACTTTCTGCCATTGTACGGATAGATTTTGAACACAGAATATGCAAAATAAGGACATTTCAAAAACGAAAGTGTGTTTATGTTGTTCTTAGTAAAAGATAATTTTTACTTCATAGAGAAAATGCTTGACTTTCAATTAAGATGAAGTTTGTATCCATTCCATACCATCTGTATTCTCCATGATGAGAATTCTGTTTAATTTGCCAATGTCAAGCCATTAGTGAAGCTTCATAAAAAGAAATGCAGTCCACCTAAAAAAGAAAAAAAAGAAGAGAGTGGTGTGTTTTTTTAAAAAAAAGTAAGTCATGGCTCTTTCAAGAATTGAGTATAACAATTATAGTATTTACATTTTAGTTTTATACATATATTATACATTTCACCAGTGATGGGATTTGAATAATTTAACAACCAGTTCTCTGCCCTAATGATCAGTTGGATAGGCGTGGCTCGGTGGTCATGTGACCTGTGGATGTGGCCAACTCAACATCACTCGATGGGTGCTTCGCCTTAGCTGTTACAATGTAATAAGGGTTAACCAGAGAGGCAGTTTCTGTAAGCAGGACAATAAAGATTAGGCTAGAAACAACACTGGAATGTTTCCTTTGTGCCTTTCTTATGGGATTAGCCCTGTAAAGTGGAAAAAAAACAAAATGAGATTTCTTCCAACAACCAGCTCTCCGAACTGCTTAGAAAGTTAACAACCGGTTCTCCCAAATAGGTGCGAACTGGCTGAATCCCACCACTGCATTTCACCAATGTATTTTAAAAACTCATTCTGCTCTTCCTGGAATGAAATTATTGGCTCCTAGTCCTTACCTGATAAGCATTTTAAGAATTTTTTTAAGATCGGTGTTCCTCTCCTAACCACGACAGTTTCTGCTTTGAGAATACATAACTCTGTGTGATTATTTCTCACTGCTGAGAAACAATTTACCGTACTTCCAGAAATTCAGTATTATGAAAAGAGAAATGCCCAGGGGGTGCAGACTGAGCAGAGGCTAACATGATATAGTAGCTATATGAAAGTACAAATGTTTTGAAAAAAACAAAAGAACATATAACAGAATTGGAAAGAGCAAAAGGGTCTCTTGGCGTAAATATGGTGTCAGGAAAGCTGAAGCTGAAAATGAATTGAAATTGACAAATGATGCTGAGAATAACAAAAAGGGCTTCTCTACGTACCTTCAAGTAAAAGAATCAATGAAGATGATAAAATGTTGATAATAAAGAAAACCAGCTATAGATAGGCCTTGACTTACGACCACAATTGAGCTCAAAATATCTGATGCTAAGTGAGATATTTGTTAAGTGAGTTTTGCTCAGGGGTGCTATTCAGCAGGTTCTGACAGGTTCTGGAGAACTGGTAGCGGAAATTTTGAATAGTTTGGAGAACCGGCAAATACCACCTCTGGCTGACCCCAGAGTGGGGAGGGAATAGGGATTTTGCAGTATCCTTCCCCTGGAGTCGGGTGGGAATGGAGATTTTGCAGTATCCTTCCCCTGGAGTGGGGTGGGAATGGAGATTTTACAGTATCCTTCCCCTGCCACACCTACCAAGTCATGCCCACCGTGCCCGCCACACCACACCACCTCCACCAAGCCACCCCCAAAGAACTGGTAGTAAAAAAAATTGAATTCCACCACTGGTTTTGCCCCATTTTACAACCTTTCTTGCCATAGTTGTTAAATGAATCACTGCGTTGTTAATTTAGTAACACAGTTGTTAAGTGATTCGGACTTTCCCATTGACTTTGCTGGTCAGACGTTTGCAAAAGGTGATCACATGATCCCAGGATATTGCAACTGTCATGGATATGAGTCAATTGCCAAACATTTTGATCACCTGACCATGGAGTTGTTGCAATGGTCATAAGTGTGAAAAATGGTCATAAGTCACTTTTTTCAATGCCATTAGAATTTCAAACAGTCACTAAATGAACTGTTGTAAGTCAAGGACTACCTGAATTTCAACTGATCTTCAGCAACAGTTTTCTCAAGAAATTGTGAAGGGCAGAAGAAAGGGACAAGAATCTATCTGTCTGTCTATCTGTTTGTCTGTCTGTCTGTTTCTATTTATCTATCTATATTTATCATCTGTCTGTCTGTCTCTCTAATCAGGGTGTAGGCCACTTAAATTACAGAAGTAATACTGGGTGCCTTTCAGATTAAAATCAATAAAAGTAATCATAAGAATAAACAAGCAATTAAAAAAATCAAAAGACTGAAATTTAAAATTGACAGAAACAGGGTCATGGAATACTTTTAAACTTTTCAATGACTATAAATTTCCAGGCCCAAACAAATTGCTTCCCAGTGTATTGAAACCAATACTGATAGGCTTGATGAAATGTTATCTTTGAGAAAGACTAAAAAATTGGTAAAGAATAAAGTGCCAGATGACTTGGAAACAACAAATGTAGTTCCTATTTTCAGGGGTATCAGTAGAGTGGGAGTCAAACACTCTACTGATACCCTACTATGCTTTGTATGCACACCCCAAAGGGATGGAGCTTGTAGTGTGACAATTTGATGCTATCTTTGTCATTTTGATACAATCAGCAAAAGCCTGAGGACATCCATGCCTATCTTCCAAAATGCAGAAAGAGTATATCATGATGTGCTAATTAACAAGCTACTTAAGTATGTACTGGGTGACATGACGATTACTGTCCCCAAAATTGTACTCAGACAATGTTTTGCAATCAGACTGATGAGATATACAAGATTGAATGGGCTATGGAAGGTTTATACCAGGACTACTACTCTTCAATGCTTTTACTATGACTTGAATGAAGCAGTCAGTAGAATGCCATCAAATCTGCAGGTAACATAGAACTGGGTGGAATAATGAATGTCTTAAATGACAGAAATAAAAATTAGAATTTTCTTGACACAGCTATACAAGAGGTAACAAAAATGTAATATAAATAAAGGCAAAGTTACTTGGAAAGAGCAATCCTATGCGCAGGCACATTATCACTGAATATGTAATAATAAACATCTTAAAATAGTAACAATAGCAATAGCAGTTATATACCACTTCATAGTGCTTTACAGCCCTCTGTAAGCAGTTTACAGAGTCAGCATATTACCCCCAACAATCTGGGTCCTCATTTTACTGATTTTGGAAGGATAGAAGGCTGAGTTTACCTTGAACCGGTCACAATTGAACTTCTGGCAGTGGGTAGAATCAGCCTGTAATACTACATTCTAACCACTGTGCCACTACAGCTCTTATAGTTTTTTTTTTAATTAAAAAGTTTTTTATTAATAGTACAAAATTAAAAAACATTGGACATAGATATGACATCACTGGTTCCAAACATCTTCCGTCACTTTGCAATAATACTAATACTCATATAAACATACAGTTCTTAAACTTTGTTCATTATTTAAATATAATATAATATTAATAATTTTCCCTTATTTCTATATATTTATTCATCTCTAAACATACATTTATCTATAACAACATGTATATTTTTAGTCTAACACTGTACATTTGTCTTGGCTACCCTTTTATTATCTATCCAATCATAAAATTGTTCCTAGATTTTGTACTACTTAGTTTCGCTTTTATCCTTGAGTTCCAAAGTAAGTCTGTCCATTTCTGCACAGTTAAAGATTTTCAGTAATATTTCTTCTTCAGTTGGAATATCTTTCTCTTTCCATTTTTGAGCAAAGGCTATCTATGTTGCTATAAGTATATGCAGTAATAGATAATTTGTATCTTTCTTATATATTTTTTTTCTATAATTCCCAATTAAAAAAAACTCCGGTTTGACTTCTATATTTGTTGACAAAATTTCTTCCAGCCAATTTTTTATTAAATTCCAATGTTTTTGCGCCTTTGGGCATTCCCACCACTACAGCTCTTATAGTTGATTGCATGCTGAATATGATTCAGCAGTTTGATGCCGTGGCAGAAAAGAGTAATATTATTTCATATTACATCAACAGAAATATTGTGCTCAAATCATGAGAAGTAACAACTCCATTTTATTCTGCTTTGGTCAAATCTTAGCAGAAAAGCCATGTCCAATTCTGGCCACCACAGAAAGGATTCAAGAAAACTAGAACAAGTTTGGCAACAATGGCAACAAGGAAGTTAAAGGGTGTTTGTAAACTAAATCTCATGAGTAAAGAGTGAAGCAGATGAACTTGTATAAGCTTGAAAAGAAAATACTTAGGGGCATATAAAAGCATCTTCCATACCTGAAAGGATGTCATGCAGAAATGGTCAAGACCTGTTTTCTATCATTCCACACTGCAATATATAGAATTATGGATTCAGATTCTAGGAAATCAGACTCATCTTCAATGTTATTTAAAAAACCCTCTTCCAAGAGTAAGAGCAGATTATCAAAAAGAAAAGAAAAAAGGTGTTGAATACCTTTCTTGGGTGTGTTGAAAAAAAGGACCAGATAGCTCCCTGTTGGAGATGCTTGAATTTGGGTCCTTGCACTTAGCAGAGGGGTGAAGTCAATAGCTTAAATGGTCCCATCTAATTCTACTTCTCATTGTATTATATGAGATATAGTTTAGTTAGTTAGTTTAGTTTATTTGATTTGTATACCGCCCTACTCCCGAAGGACTCAGGGCGGTGAACAGCCAACAATAAAATACATAAATACACAAAATTTAAAAACCCGATAAAATCAAATTAAATTATTTGGCCCAGACAAATTTAAATACCCCAATAATTTAAAAACAGATTAAAATTTACATATTTAAAAAGGGAAGAGATTAGGCCAAGCCCGCTTGATGGAATAAAAAGGTCTTCACAGCACGGCGGAAAGAGCGCAGATCCGGGATCCTCCGTATCTCCGGGGGGAGCTCATTCCAGATGGTAGGTGCCCCCACAGAGAAGGCTCTCCCCCTAGGGGCCGCCAGTCAACACTGTTTGGCTGACGGCACCCAGAGGAGTCCCTCTCTATGAGAGCATACTGGCCGGTGGGAGGCTATTGGTGGTAGTAGGCGGTCCCGTAAATAACCAGACCCTAAGCCATGGAGCGCTTTAAAGGTGGTAACCAAAACCTTGAAGCGCACCCGGAAGACCACCGGGAGCCAGTGCAGCTCGCGCAGGAGAGGTGTTACATGGGAGCGCCATGTCACTCCCATTACCACCTGCGCGGCCGCACTCTGCGCCAGTTGGAGCCTCCGGGTGCTCCTCAAGGGGAGCCCCATGTAGAGAGCATTACAATAGTCCAGGCGGGAAGTGACGAGGGCATGAGTGACCGTGCGTAATGAG